TCTTTATTGCTACCTGCTGCTGCCACCCTAACAAATCAGGCTTCTGACTCAGCCTCAGGGCACAGGAGGCCGGGCCCTCAACTGAGGGTCAGCTACCTGTCGCTGTGTCTCCAGGACAAAGAACAGGAGTTGCTTGGAGAAGAGATGAGAAGAGGGCATGGTGAGCTGGGACGAGGCGAGGGCATGCTGTCTTTCAAACACCTGGTGAAGGACAGTATTTCGTAAGATCGGGGCCTCGTATCAAACTCCAGCGGGTGCCACTGGGCCAAGGTGGGGATGTCCAGGTGCCATCAGTCACCTGTTGGCTTTTGTAGCTGCTGCCCTGAAGTGCTCAACCTCCCACCCCCAGGCAGCTAATAAACGCCCAGAAAACTGCAGGTGGCAAAGTCCCCCATCGTTCCTCACCTTCCACCAAAGATGTTCAGGATGACATCTTTTGGCCACGTTCTGCAGCTGCCTGGCCCCCACAGGAATGGCTACCACCTGGCACGGCGGGTCCCCGAAACATCAGCACCAGAGTCCGGCGGGGTCATAGTTTGCCAGCCAGCACGGGTGCTGATCGCTAAGCAAGCACAACGCTCTGGTGAACAAGAGGCACCCTTGGAGCAAGGCTGGCCCCCACCATAAAATCCCCCAACTAAGCAAGGGTGCCAGAGAGAAACCTTGAACAAGTGAAGCTCCCTACTTGTTGAGCAAGCAAGTTCCAGTGGAGACAGCGTGGCCATTTCACACCCCAGCACTGCAGACGGGCGGATTCAGAATGACTGCAAACTCCACCTCCTTCCTGGCCTGTGACCTCGGGCCAGTTACTTAAATCTCTCAGCCCCAGTTTCTTCATCTGTAAAATGGGGATCATAATAGTACCTACCTGATGGAGGACTGTGAAGCTTAAACAAAATAACAGAAGTAAATTTCCTCTCCTGAACTGATGATGCTTGGGGCATTGGCAACGCACAATAAAAGCCATTGCTATTATTACCGTCATTTTCATCACTGTTACAAGCTATCCCATCACATAATGTACAGCAATAGCTCCCCGAGCTACCCTCTATTGAGATTCAGTGCTCTGAGCTCTGGCCCCTGTGCTAGGAAATTTACATGATTTCCTCATTTTGTCCTCACTACATCCTTGCCGGGTAGAAACAGGCCCACGGGGTTCAGGGATGTGCCCAAAGATATGTCAGCCATCACTTAGCTGCTATAGACCCTGAATCACTTCTGCCAGCCAGTAATGAATGATGCTGTAGGTGGCATTTTTTTCATTCTGAAGAATCTTCTTTATAGGGATCACAGAGGCTACCTAAGTCAGCTGGGATCAGAGATGCCCTCCAAGGAGCCAAAGACACACAGCTTATTGGACCAAAAATGGTCCATGGGTGGAGGGCATCCAATCAGATACCACGGGGGTAACATGGCATGCATGAAGGCAGCATGGAATAAATCAATACAGCAAGGATGGAGAGGTGAGTCCGTGGTTCTCTACTTCTCTGGGAAGCAGGCTCACTCCTGAGTCAGCATCTTCCATACTGAGCAGCAGAGTCTAATACCTTATGTTTCGTCCATAGCTAACCTTAGACACAGATTCCTCAGAAGCCAGGGCTCCTTCTACCTCCCTCCCTCCCCCTGTTTGTCACCCCCAGACCAAGGAAGGAGGGTGAGCCCCAAGGAGGTAAGTGCTTCTCGCAGCCCACCCGAGGTGGCTAGGCACCCCAAGGGTCTAAGACTCGGCCACTCTGCAGCTGGAATCTTCCTAATGCTGACTCCAGGCATTACCATCAGGGGTAACAAGATGCAGGATCACCACCCTTCACAGCACAGCCAGAGCCAGAGCTGACTGTGACAAACGGGCGGACAGACTCAGACTGGCAGGGACACAGCCTCAGAGGCTCCCTTGGCTGGGTCATGGGAGGAAGGCTGGCACTGGGGCCCAGAGGCAGGAAGTTCTCCTCTGCAACTCAGAGTGACATGAGATCGGGACTGTAGGAAGCATGGGGGAGCCGGTGCCAGCAGCTGTGTTCTCCCAACAGCCCTGGCCTGGAGACTCCAAAATCAGCATTCTAAGTGAGTCAAAAGATCTGCCTAGGAAAAGCCACTTTGCATACTCACTGGGTAAGCCTTAGGGTTTCTAAGCTCCGGAATGGACCTGCATGGAGTCTCTTATTGTACAGTTGGGGAAACTGAAACCCAGATAGAGACAGGAAGACGGGATGCAGGTTAGATTTGCATTTGGATTCAAAATCTACAACATGGGCAAGATCACTGACCTTTTGGAGCCTCAGTTTCCTGATCTGTAACATGGGAATGACGATGTCTGCCTCAAAGAGTGCAGTGAATCTTAACTGTGACAATGCAGCTGACGTGCTCAGCAGGGACAAAGGTCATACAGACAATTGGTGACAACACTGAGACTTCAGCAGAGAGAGTCTCATTTCCTGATCTGAAGCCTATTCCAACAGGCTGCCTCTGTTTCTATCATTTGTTAGGATCAAAGAAAATGGGACTGGTCCATAGGGGTCCAGCTAATATTTGGGTTACACACTTGTTCCCCCACTGAGACTAAAGTGCTATCTTTCTCCTTCCTGGGAGATCAGAGCAACCTCTCTGCATACAAGGACCAGGACTGTCCAAAGAGACAATAGTGCTTCTAGGGCATCTTAGTATCAGGAGCTGATTTTAATTCAGAACTTTGCTCCTGCCCACAGGCAAGCAGAGAAGCCTCTCCTCTCAGATGCAGATGGGGCAGGCATGAAAAGTGGGGAGCTATGGCGATTCCTTGCAAAACTCTGGCAGAAGCAGAGGTCTGAAAGTGCAAGTCTGTGGGTTGTGGTTTTGTTTGTTTTTTTCTTTTTTTCAGCAAGCTGGAAATGTTTCTACTCTGGCCAGAATTAAAGTGCAGGGCTATGGTCAAGCCCTCTGAGGTGGCCATGCTGACATTCACTCACGGGATGGCGATGCACGAAGACAGATGGCTGCTGGAAGCAGCCGCCCAGCATCACACCAAGGTAAATTCCAAGCACTCTTAGGGCTGTAAGGAAGTGGGGAGTGTGAACTGAAAGGCATTTAGCCACAGCCTCAAAATTAACCATAGAGCCAGAGGATGGAAACGCTACTAGGCTAAGGAGCCAATAAACATCAGAACAACAGCTATCATTTATCAGGCACTTACTCTGGCCAACTACTGTGCAGACAACTTGACAAATGTGAGCTGATCTAATCTTCACAACCATCTATGGCGTAAAGCTATTGTTATCCCCATTTTACAGATGAAGGAAACTGAGGCTCAGAGAGGCTCTTGACTTGCTCGAGGTCCACACACTGCTCAAAAGTAACAGAGCAGGGACTGGAACCCAGGCAGCTCCCTCCAGGGCCGTGACACCCTGCCCCACCCTGCTGTCGTTACACATCGGATATGTCGTCCCCTTTTTTCTCGTCCAGGCTCACCACGCAGCCCTCTGACTGCCACGCAGGCCCACCCACCGTCATGGAGTGTTTCGAGTCTCTCTGACGGTGATTTCTCTTGACAAATTGATAAATCGGCCTCTTCTGGCGTCAACGTGTGTCATGAGTGCTATTTTAGTTTGCTTGATTCAGGGCCTCTACCCTCTGGGCACTGAGATAAGCCAGGCTCTGGAACTTATCCTAACTGATGTCCACACAAGTCTCTTCTGGTACCAGACCCTCCACTGATTCCTGCAGTGGACTCATGAGACACATCTGTGGCTTGTAAACTGAGTTCACGGTTCTGCCCCGGGCCAACCATCCAGCTGGGCTAAGGCAGAGGTTCTGAACCCAACAGTCTTGACACTGGACATTTGTGTTGGACGTTACGTGTGCAGTTTTCCAGGGAGAAAATTAATAGATTGCATCCAATTCTTAAAGAGCCCATGGCCTCCCTAAAAAAAATTTTAAAACCCTTATGTAAAGGTAAGGAATAGAACCCCACATTTAGACAAAGGTATCCCACTGGATATTTGAGGAACTTGGTTATCAAATCAGGCATGAGAGATAAGCTTGTATACTCTGGAGTGAGAAAGAATCAGATTCAAATCCTGACTCAACTACTCCATAGCTGTGTGACTTTAGGCAATTCTTTGATGTCCCGGGGCCTCAGTTTCCTCATCTACACAATGGGAATAATCCATCTGTACCACTGATTATTGCAAGAACTAAACGATATCACACATGTGGGTGAGTAGCACATACTGGTGCTCAGCAAACAACACTTATCATTTATCAGAGCATCAACATGTGGACACAGTCTGGCTGTATTAAGGGCAAGGGGTTATTTCCTACAAATTCTAGCACCCCCTCCTCTTCCTGAGTTCCCAGGCAATAAAGTTTTTGTCTTGGCTGGCGGACTGGTTGGGCTTTATTCAGGGGCTCCCCTCTGACCACATCTGTGCCTGTTCAGCAAAAGGGGCCTCTAGGCAGAGAAGATTAAACACCTTCTGAGACCTCAGCTCTTGATCACCAGAAAGTTCCATTTCCTTTCCCAAGAATAACCACTTTGCTGCAAAATTCATGGGAGCAGAATGTAAGCCACTCCAGGCCACGCTCAGCCCAGTTTGAACCCAAATCCATCTTTGAGATGTAAAGGTTATGCGCATTGACCCGCGGTGGGGGAGAAAATTACAACATTGAATCAGAGATGCCTTATCCACAGTGGCCAGGAAAAATCCTGTGACCGGACTGCTGAGAAGCAGAGGAGAGAAAAGGCTGATGTTTCCTTTAATGCCCTGCATGCTTGCTTCCCGCTGTCATCCCTACACACCTGCAGGCCTAAAAAGAGGAGGCGCATGGGACCAATGACAACAGCCTCCCAATTATGCCCCCTTCTCTCCGAAACCATCCCCAGGGGCATGAGTGGCACAGGTGGAGGCGGCAGGCAGACCGTGGATGAGGCGTGTTCCGCGTGCACTTCCCGAGTATTTTCGAGGAAGAAAAAGAAGAGGGTGCGCCCCGGGTGCGGAGGGCAGCAGGTGCAGCTGCCGGGGACTTACTTGAGGAGAAGTTGGCCTCGGAGTGGACGGGAGGGGTGGAAGGCAGGAAGGGCGCGTGTCCCACGAAGAAGGAGCGGAGCGAGCGCTCGGACAGCAGCGGGGAGCGCTGCTGGGAGGGGATATTCTCACAGCTGCCCACGCTGCTGTGGATCTTGAGGTTCAACGGCTTGCTTTTCTTCTTGGCTCTGAAAGGGAGACAGAAAAAAGAAGAGAGGGAAATGTATCCCTAGCACACACAGTGAGAGCGGGGGGGGGGGGGGGACCCAATCTCCTTAGCGTGGCACCCAGTAACCACTCCCCACCTCCATCTGGCCCTGCCACCCTCTCCGGCTCCCTCCCACTGGGCTCCAGCCACATACTCCTCACCTCCAACCCTTGGCTTATGCTCTTCCCAAGGCCTGGGAAACCCTCCCCTTCTTTGTCGGGTCAAGGCCCCATACGTTTTTTTACAACTCTGGTGTCCTCTCCTCCAGGAAGCCTTCCTTGACACCCCAGTCCATCCCAACCAGGGTTGAGTGTTCTTCCTCCAGGAAGCCTTCCCTGATACTCCCCCTTTCCTCCTAGCTTGGGTTGGTGTTCCTCCTCCATCCTCCTAAAATATTCTCTCTATATCTCTGTGGCTGCACTTTCCTATATTTTCCAAATTTGTTCTTTTAGGCTCTGTCTCCCAAGTGGACTGAGGGTCTTTGAAGCCAGTGACTCTGTATTGTTCGTTTCTCCATCTTTGGCAACCAGCACAGAGCCTGGCACGCAGTAGGTGCTCACGAAATGTCTATTAAATGATCAATCTGGATGAAGACGGCCACTCATAACGCTGCATTTTAATTCTCCATCTTCCAGGCCTTTGAGCTCCTTGAGGGTCGGAACCTGTGGTTTTTGTTGTTGGAGCTCTCAGCCCCTAGCTCGGCCCCAGCTGAATAGAATGTACCTCTTGGGCTGGTTCTGAAACATTTCTCCCCTTCCCCAGGAGTTTAGGTGATCAGTTGAAGAGAGTTTGCTCCAAAATTAACCTCACCGCCTTCCCCCCAACTCCCCCACTGCCCTGTTCAGGTGTGGCCAGGAGTTGGGCGCCCTCTTGTGGCCAAAGCAAACCTGCCTCGGAAATGCTCACAGATCCGGATGGAGGGCCCAGGAAGGGGTGTTCATTTAAGACTAGAGGCCTCCCACACAGGCAGCCTAAAAGTCACCCTCTCCAGGAGTCTGCTGCCCCTCAGCTTTAAGGAGTTCAAGTGTGCCTGCAGAGTTGCCCCCCGTGGTCGCTGCGCCGGCAGCCAGGAAGGCGCCTCCTGCTAGAGCAGCACCGTGGCTGCAGAAGAGCAGGCAGCGGGGGTGGCGGCGTTTCATTCCACACGAGCGTCCAGTGGTGGAGAGTCACAGAGGAGTCTACACAGAGGGAGTGCAATGTAGGAGTTACACTCGCAGGCTTTGGGGTCAGGGAGTCTGGAGCCTGGGTCCTGACTGTGACCTCAGGAAAGTGAACTCACCTTTTTTTCGTGCCTCAGTGTTCTCACCTGGACGATGGGGGAAACCACAGCACCTACCTAAGAAGGATGGATGACGATTCTACGGGATCATGTGCTTGGCACGCGGCCCGGCACAGAATGAGGGTTCAGGTGACCTGATGTTAACGTCACCATGACCAGGTTCAACTGGCTGTCTGTATAGCAGGGGCTTAACCTTGAAGAAGCCAAGCCATGTTTTTCACCTGAAACATCCAGCAGCTCCCTCAACCCACCACGACCCTTGGCAGATGAAGAGGATGCAGTCAAACCCTGCAGCAATAGGTACCATGATGATCTCCCAAACACAGATGGCAGCCTTGAGGCACTGGGCCACTAAGTGATGAGGCCAGATCCCTTATGCAAGAAGAACCAAGTCTATATGTAAAATAGATAACTAATAAGGACCTACTGTACAGCACAGGGAACTCTTCTCAATACTCTGTAATGACCTATATGGGAAAGGAATCTAAAAAAGAGTGGATGTATGTATATGTGTAACTGATTCACTTTGCTGTACAGCAGAAAATAACACAACATTGTAAATCAACTATACTCCAATAAAAAATTTTTAAATAAAATAAAATAAATAAAAAGAAGAAGGAAGTCTAACCCAGCACAGGTGTAATCGTAGCTCAATGCTGCTGCACTCACAGCCACAGATGGAGCAGAGAAGGGGTGTGTATAAATAAATGTTAGTTGGACAGATGGATGGATGGATGGATGGATGGGTGGATAGAGGGGAAAAGGGTGAAAAGTGGAAGGATGGAATGAATGATGGACAGAGAGGATGAGAAGATGAAAGAATGGGAGGGCAAATGGATAGAATGAAAGAGAGAATGAGAAGATGGAAGGATGGGGAAGGGGAGGATGGATGGAAGGAAGAATGGATGGATGGATGGATGGAAGGGTGAAAAGGTCAAAGGATGAAAGGGTGATGGATGGATGGATGCAATGAAGGAGGAGGGGATGGTAGGATGGAAAGGTGGATAGAAATAAAGGAGGAAGAGAGGATAGGAAGAAGAGAAAGTGGGAGGATGAATGGTTATTTAATCAGAGAAAGCGGAAGGAAATTCTATATCGCTTCCCACCCACCAAGGAAGTCTTTGTAGACAGGACGTAGGATTCACCTTTACCATCTGTGCTCATTACCCAGACATGCTTGGAGGGGAAAGCAGACACAACCAACTGTGTCTGACGACTGTGGCCGTGACTAAAATTTAGTGGCTATTTTTCAGTGTATCCTGCAGATGCCGTTAAAAGGAACATCCTCTCCATGATCTTCACAGATATTAGATGTCTATTACATAAATGTATTTTTCTGGAAATGGGGCCAATTCTGGGGAAAGCAGCAACATGAAACGCTGGCACGGGCAGCTCCATCCTCTGGGGCTGTATCAGCACTGGGTGGACATGCCGCTTTCTGGACGGGCTCTCTGGCATGGCAGGCTGGACCACAAACTGTGCCTAGGAAAATGTGCTTGTTTTACCAGGGACAGCAAAGGCCTAGTCCAACGTTGGCATCTAGCAAAGTTCTTCCAACCGTCCTGATTTGCGTAGCATATTTGAACGAAAAGGATCCTGAGAATTGCCACCTCTTCACATTGGTTCATTACTTTCCATCTCCAGCCCACAGTTCTGGACCAAGCCACCTTCCTCCCTCACCTAAGCTACTGCTGCTGCTGCCTCTTAAAATCCGAATCCCACTTTTGTTTCCCTTTGCTCTGTTTTTTTTGTACTGAGGTCAAATTCACATAAGGTTAACCGTTTTAAAGTGAACAACTCAATAGCATTAAGTACTCACAGTGCTGTGCAAACACTACCTCCATTTAGCCCCCCAAGTATTTTCCTCATCCCAAAAGGAAACCCTCTACCCGTGAAACCATTACTCTTCATTCCCCTTTGCTACAGCCCCTGGCACTCACTAATGTTTTCTGTCTCTAACGATTTGCCTATTCCAGGTATTTCATATAAATGGAATGAATCATCCAATACGTGACCTTTTGCGTCTGGCTTCTTTCACTTAGTGTCATGTTTTTGAGGTTCATCCATGTTGTAGCATGTATCAAAACATCATTCATTTTAATGGCTGAATAACACCATCTGACTTTTAATTCTTTACAATGTATTTTCTACCCAGCAGTTAAAGTGATGTTTAAAAATGGTACATTGTATCATGTCACCCTCAGCTTAAAAACTTCCAAAGGTTTTCCATTGTTCTCCCTTCCCATGGCTTACAAAAGCTTCATAGCACCCTCAACACCCTCTCTCCAGCTTCTTTACCGTCACCTTGTCACCCTCTGACTCTGGTCATCTCCCTGGTCCTTGACCACACCAAGTTGTCATCCACCTCAGGGCCTTTGCACATGCTGTCCCTCTGCCTGGGGCGCTATTCCCCATCCTGTTAGTGGAGACCTACTCACCTTTAGGCATCACTTCCTTAGAGACACTGTCCCCAATCCTCAGAACTAGTCAGATCCCTAGGCTACATGTGCTCCCAGCACTATGTGAATTCTGCATTTACTTATGTGGTTACTGAATGTCTGTCTCCCCCATGGCCTGTGCCCCCCACACACAAGGGAAGAACCTGTATCCCCAGCACCTAACACAAAGCAGGCACGCCACAGTGGCAAAGCCAAGATCAGATACCGGGTCCACAGACTCCCAACCTCGTCTATGTGCCCCAGCTCAGGCTAGGACCTGACATCCTCCATCTGGGGTGGGGGGGCGGGGGGCGGGCAGGGAATTCTAAAGGACTGTGTCCCAGTTTCGATCTGTGAGTCAGGAGGACTGTTAATCAGCATCTTCCCAGTTAATTCTCAAATATGGGCTCCTTGAGGGCGGAGATGCATCTTATTTCTTTCGCCAGCCTCTGGCCACCTCTGTCTGGATCTGGCGGACAGCTCTGCACTCATAAGGCTCCTGATCGATGCCCATTTGCCAGCTAGCCTCTCAGAGCCTTTATCACAAAGGTTGCCAAGGGAAGCCCCAGACTGATGCTTAGACTTTGCACCGTTTCCTCTCCCCAAAGTCTGCTGGATTTTGAGCTAAGCCGAGCCGCTGGCTCACACGGCCCCTCAGCTTCCTCAAGTGTGGGGTTGTGTCCCCTTGCACCTGAAAGCCTTCACCAGCCAAACCCCTCAGCATATCATTAACGGGGTCTGGGGCATCTGGCCCTGCCGACTGGCAGGAAATGACAGGGCTGGGAACAGGCAGGCTCCTCGCAGGCATGGCAGGAGGACAGGCACAAACACACATTCTCACACACCACCCTGGGCAGCAAAGTGCTAATCCAGCAGCCATTTCCCCAAACAGGAAGAAAATGCCCGCTGGTCTAACCCGCAGCTGTGTGCGCTGCCCCTCCCCCTCAAACTGGGCCGTTTAAATCCTTTGCAGTTGGCCTGATCTGATTACCCAAGAGGAGACCTCCAGGAAAGACCCTTTTCAAAACCAAAGGATAACACCAGTTCTTGGGTGAGAGGGGGTAGAGGTGGGGGGAGTGCTTAGGGACCCTCGGCTCAGCTGCTCGAGCGTGGGGAAGGAGGAAGTTTGGAAAAGCCTAACACTGGGAGGATGTTTATTGAGAATCCATTGTGGTCCTTGGCCACGGGCAACAACCCTCATTTCTGGCTCAAGCATGCCCAGAGCGTGGCAAGAATCAACAGGGGCCCTGGCAAAAAAAAGAG